TTTATTAAAAGGATATCAAAAATACCCTTCAGGTTTACACACTGAGGGCTCAGTCCTGTTACAAGAATAGTTCCACTGATGTTAATGGAGCTACTAACTTCTTGTGAGTATGAAGTACTCACATGAGGAAGCGCTGCAGGGTCTGGGCCATAATAACTTGCCTCCAAAGAGAAAAGTTTCCATGAAATAGAGAAATGAAAACACGAGAATGTGTGTGTCACTGACAGTTACTGAAGAAATGATACTCTTTGTCACCCTAGTACCGTATACATTTCCCCTCTGAATTAAAACAATAATTTCCACTACAGCTGGTTTCCTTGTGTTCTGTTTATTGTGGGGGAGGAGGAGCCTGTCGGCAAGTTAAGAAGAGCTATGCTGAAAAGTGTAAAAGAGGTAAAAATGAATCAATAAAATGTTTAAAAGAATAATAGGTTTTGTGCTAATGTATCACTGCATGTCATGTACGGTAATGAGCCAGATAATTGAAAAAAATTACAATTATAAAATAATTTTATAAATGTAAAATTAAATGTGTTCACACCATAAAGGAACACACTGTAACCCAATAAGTATTTGTCCAAAACATACTTAGGTCTCATACATCAAGAGAATTACTTACACAATTAAACCTATACTGTAAAAATAAGGGTAATTATTGTTCTACTTTACAACACATAGAAGTCAATTTGTAGGGTTTTTTTGTTTGCTTTTTTAAGTAGTGTGGTTTCCAAGGATGTGCCCTAGAAAAGGCGACAGATATTCCTTCACTATCCTAGCTGGACCTGAACTGGGTGGAAGACATCCACACAGTAGCTAATCTGTCTTTTTTAACCTTTTGGCTTCCATGAAGTATGTCAGGAAAAAGAAGATTCTATCTTTCAAACATAATGTCCCTTTCAGATCTTAGGGTTACAGAGACAAACAGTCCCTAATCCAGTATTTTGCATTGTGCTTCTATTTTGATTCCTGTAGCATCTTTGTGGGAGGATATGTCAAGGAATTGACGAACAGTATTACACAAAGTGAATCAAAAGCTGGGTCTTCCTTGCTCACTCAGATATACAAGTTCTAGATGTTCTTGGCTGTGGCCTCGTTTTGCTGAGTCCCACTTTCCTCTTAAGTATTATAACAGCTTTGATCACTGCAATTGAAAAGTCCTCGATCTCTTCCATTGCTGTCTTGTGAGCCTGCAATTGGTTGTTAGTCTTCTTTGTTACCTTCTACAGCTCTTCCATTTTTTGTTGTTGTTGTTCTGGAAATTCTTTTTCACAACCTCGCTCTCCCATTTCATTATCTCTGACGTTAGCGTTACTCTCATGTCCCTGGATTTTTCAGTGAACATTTCCATGAGGCGTTTGAGAGAGTTTTCTCAGTTACTGGTTGCTTCAATTTGGCAGAGCAAAATGGCAGCAAAGACAACAGTAACTGAGTGAATGGGTCTAAATGATACTGCTTTTGCTATTTTATATTCAGCTCTTTTGAAAGTTATATTCTCGATATACATACAGATCTCTACATACCCCAAATAAGAGTAAACTAGGATAGTTTATTAATCCTGTGCCTTGATTCAGCCCTGGATATACCATCTCCCTTTGGTAGCAGTAAGTCCACTCAATGCAGCAGTGCAAGGAACCTGCAATCTCTCCCATTGAGGTCTCCACTGTTGATGAGCACAGATCCAGAATGGATGCCAGTGGCCAGGGACAGGAGCCTGTCTACGGTAGCTAGGTATATGCTGAATTAGTGCATTCCCTGACTATCTTCCAAATGTTTATCTGCTTGAAAGTTGGGCAAACTTTGGTTCCCCCAAATGAAAATGCTAGGGTCTATCTTCAAAAGAAATACAGCATGGATAGACCAAGCTCGGTTTTATTCAGTTGCAAAAATCCAAATAATCCTTTTTGCCTTCAGGAATCTTCATCTCAGAAATAACATTTCTTAAATTTTTGATCCATAAAAGATTTGATAATGTATGACAAAGCAAAGATACATTGTGGTCCAGAAGATCCCACTGTGTTTCACCATGTAAGCAGAGCATGTACTCGTCTCGTACAAAGAATTTGTTTGGCTTGCATAAAGATTTAACATGCTTCAGGAGAGAGTGTAGTCAGGATAAAACATGATTCTGCCTCTTGGATGTTCACTGATTTACAATTTCTGGCAGGGGCATGGGTCTGTGTCTGAACATGCTCTGGCGTGTTTTATCCGTTGGTTTATAAGAAAGTAATCTTTGCATTGCAGTGAGACTGACAAATTCTGGAGAAAACTAGGTCCCAAATAATTCTGATATCTGTTTAAAAAATAGAAATGAAATCTCTAGTCTCAGACTTCTCTGGTACTCCCGTACAGGAATGTTACACCCTTCAGTTTTGTTTTCTATAGGCTCCGTGATATGTATGTCAGTGTTATTGTCTTTCAGCTTTTGCGCAATCAGAGAAATTGCTGTCTAGTCTGGAGCTTTTTAGGGGCTGAAATTGCAGTTCTTACTCATGCAAAATGTCCATTAACGTCATTGCAAGATTGGGACCTAAATCAGTAACTCATAACTTGATTCCTCTAATTTGTCCTGAAACTATGGGCAGCCCCATGAAAAGCTGTCATGAAAAGTTAATGTAGGAAATATAAATGAAACAGGACTGTTTCTTAAGGGTGAAATTCACTCTGGTGAGTTAAACCAACACAAATCCCTCTGCACCACATGCTCCTCACAATTGAGGCTGCATGGAGAGGTCCTAAAGCTACTAAAGACACATGGGGTCTCTGCACCCATAGTGGTTGCAGAGAGATTTTAGTGCCAGCCCCATATAGGCTGCCATGAAAGGTGGCATTGGACAGTTTCAGGTTCAGTGATTATGCATATCCACAAGTGACATAGAAGGGCAATGATTCCATCCCATAAACTGCAGGGTGAAGTGGGGCGGGCAACTGCACAACAGCCCTATTCCCCCATCTCTCTGCACTTCACTTGCCTGGATTTGTGCAAAAACAGCTAATTTCACCCCAGATAATATTACCTTTAACCACATGTGTCTCGTCTGGTTAGGATGGCCAGAGAATCAATAAGGGGAGGAGCTTTTAATTGTCATAAAACAAACAAACTCTGGTTCATAATGCTCCCAGGATTCCTTTCCAAATTCTTGCTGCCTGGCTATTGCAGCAAATAACACATGTAGGACAAAAAGAACAGGAGTACTTGTGGCACCTTAGAGACTAACACATGTATTTCTGCAATTGCAGATATATGAGGTAAAGATAGAGGGGGAGTCTTAACTTTATAGTTTCCTGATCATCTTAGTTTTAGAGAGTCTCTGAATGTTATTTTAACATAACTTTTCTTTGCTGGGTAAATACAGTTTTATGATGACATTTTTACATCAGCTGGATAAAGTCTGTCAGACCTGGACTGCTACATTATTCATTTTCAGTACAGACTTCTGAGTAATAATGAAGAACCTTTAGAAATTCTTGGAAAATGGCTACTTCAATTTTAAGAATATCATTATCACTCACTAAAGTTATAAATCCTACTCTAAAAATGATTTTTTTTTAAAAGCACCACATTTTTATGTGCATGGATACAACAATCCCCAGTGAAAATCATGCTGTACTTCTGAACTGACAAATTATATATCTACACAATTAACCCTGGTACACAATGCAGATAATAATACTCCCATTCTCTCACCCTTTGTCCATCTTGTCTTCAGGGCACAGAATGTCTCTCACTATCTGTTTGTACAGCACCTAACTCAATGGGGCCCTGATCCCAGTGTGGGTCTGTAGGTGTTACAGTAGTACAGATAATAATTAATAGTAACACTATGGTTAGTTTTTAATGCACTGTGTAAGACTAACAAAGCCCAGGATTGGATGCGACACTAACTCTGATTCCCACAAAGATTACTGTACTTTTTTCACATCCTTTGCTTTTCTAAAAGAAAATCCACCAAAATCTAAGCCTGACAGGTTTTGTTTAGTACTCATTTCACTAGAGTCATTTGCAGCAGGAGATCATAAAATAATCGTTTTAATTTCTACTGTGCCTTCCCTTGGCAGATGTCAAATAGGTTTACAAACATTAATGAACCATACCTAATAACAGCTCTGGAAGGCAGGTAAGTTTTATTGCCCACTTTTTACAATTGGGGAAACAAAATCATTAAATGACTTTCCCAGTCATACAGCAGGGCTGTGGCAGAGCCAGAAAAAAAAAACCCTCTCTCCTGATTCACAATCCTTTGTAACAACTAGATCAAGCTCGCCTCAAGCAAGGAAAGTTTATTTCAGAGACAAAGGAAAGTAGCTTGGAAGCATCTCTCATATAATAAATGTGGTCTCCATTTCTCCTAACATTAAAACATTTGGAATATTTTTTTTAAAATGGGAAACCAAGTCTTTACAAACTAAAAGCTTTGCAATAACAATGAATCAGGTAGATGTTGCTACATTTTAATATGATGTGTTCTTCCATTTACACCCAAAAATACAAAACAACATAATTTACTCTAAAACAACCACCAAATAACCCACAAATGCAATATTAAGTCTTACTCTGCCATGGTATTCCATTAGCTAAGAAATTGCCCCATATTGCTTAAAACAATCCGAATAAGTCAGTATTTGCATTCTTTACACTGGAAAACAACCACTTTGTCATTAAGTCTGAACTCTTTCCTTGTACATGAGACGAATTTGGGTGCACTGAGAGTAAAATCCAAAAGGGGATGGGGAAGGGGGAGATTGTGAAGGTGGAGAGGAGAGGGAGAGAGAACAGCATGCAAGGAAGAGAAGAAAGGAGGGGAAGAGAATGAGAGGGAGGTCAAAGGAGATGGGCAGGAAAGACTGAGGGAAAGAGCCATGGGAGGGAAAAGAGAAGAGAGGCAGGAGAGGATAGACAGAGGGAGAGAGTGGGGATGCAGAAGTGAGAGAAAAAAAGGAGAAAGGAATCAGATAATAGTAAGGGAGGACTGGAGGAGGCTTTGTGCTAGGTGTGCCCTTACCAAACAGCTGAAGAGGGCTGCTGCTGGCGCAGGTTCTGGCTTGGTCTGGTCTCATGGTTGCTGGTGCCGGAGACTCTCCTGCTTGACTGGAGCCTGCAGTCCCCAGACCCAACTGAGTGAAACTGAGCGCAGCAGGTGGCTCTCTTAAGGGTGCGCGTCAGTGACCACAAACCTTTACACCATGAAACCACTTCTTCAAAAGCTGAAGGCCCAAGAATGTATATAACTGAGACCTGCACCCGAAGGAAATGGCTGTGACGGGGGATAAGGGGCCTCTCTGAGGGACCGGGAGCCTCTTCCTTCTGTTGCAAGGATCATTGCAGAAGGAGCTGTATTATGTGAACCAGACTAGATATCTGTTAGTGCCACTGTATTTCTCTCTCTTGTGTTCCCTTAATCCTTAGCTCATAAGTGTTGATAAAAATATACCAGGGCAGGTTGGACAGAGCTGACTTTTGGCCATTTAATTACAATCCAATTTTTGAAGCAAATGCAGTTTCTGCTGCTCAGTCTATGGCTGAAAGTCCGCGTAATTTGTTGGTGTCTTTAGGGAGGTGCATCATTCAAGCTGTGATAACAATCCGAAAGAGGAAGATTCAAAGCAAAAATCCGAGTGAGATTCTAAATGTCTCATGGAAATACGCAGCAACATTTGTCATCACAAGAGGGAGAAAACTTTAAAACAGCCCCTTCCAGATGGTTGACTTTGTTCGTCAGAATCTATCAGCTGACTTGCTCAGTTTAAAACTCTTAATGAGAAGTTTCTGTTCTTGTGTTTCTAATATTTTTATTAAAATTTGTTACCAATGAAAGTGGAGCTGGAACAGGAGTAAAGCAGCAGTTTGTGTGGGTGGGTGTAGGAAGCTATTAATTTCCACAGAAAAGCTCAAACTTAGATACAGCAGCTGTGAGGACCTAGTATGGCTTGCTTTACAGCTTGATTGTCTTCTAGAGTAAAAAAAAAGGTCACCTGACTTGCCCACTCTCACAGTGAGTTAGTGAGTCATTCTATCTAAAAGTGGAGGCCCTCACTGTTAGCCTATCCTGGTCCTTTGCTCTAGTCTCTAAATCACACCTCCATATCTTTCTTCACATATGCATCTGATATTGTAGCTCAATTACTCCTGTAATTTGCCCTGTCGATTGGCAATAGCTGGAAAGGTGGAGCTTGGCTAATTAAAGCGGCTTGCCTCAGGTAGGGCGCCCATATCATAACTCATTGTTGGAGTGAGGGGGGTGGTGTAGTTCCAGAACTTCTCATTATTCTTCATTTTATTCTTATTTTATTTATTATTTATGAAGCAGTAACAATATGTTTGGCACTGTACAAGACACAAAATACAGACAATCCCTGCCCCAAAGAGCTTACAGTCTAAGCAAGACAGACTCAGTGTAGCTAGTATGCGCAATGAAACCCAGCAGAAGCAATGACTAGGATTTTTTGCTATTAATATTGGTTGAATAATTTCTTATGGGCATCATGGAAAATGACCCTTTAGGAGGGATTTAAATGAAAAGAGTGTAGTAGCTTGATGGACCGGAACAGGGAAGGCATTTTACACATTGAGGATTGCATAGAAAATGTCACAGAGACAATTGCAGAAGTGGGTGAACAGAGCATTGAGGTTGATGTCACTGGCAAAGCAGAGCCAGCAATGTGTTAAAAAGACTAGGTTGGAGATGTAGACTGGGGCAATTATGTTGGGTTCTGATGCTGAAATGAAAACAAGTTTAAACATGATGTGATGGGAAATGGGAAGCTGAAGAGATTTGAAGAGGAGAGAGGGAGATAGTCTGATGAGTGTGAAAGAAAAAGATCTCTAAAGCGGGAAAGAAAACATAGGATTCCTGGTAACTTAGAGAAGGTATTGCAAACTGCGGAACACCACTACAGATTATGACTAAGGCCACGAGTTTGTCAGGGAGGTCACAGATTCCATGACTTTCCGTGACCTCTGATTTCTGCAGCAGCCGGTGCACCTGGCTCAAGGGCAGCTCAGGCAGTCCCTGCACCAGGTGCACCGGCCGCTGCTGGGGCAGTCTCAGGCCACCACATCCCCGCCCCCAGCAGCAGAGTTTGGGTGTGGGACGGGGCACGGGATGGGTGAGGTGGGCTCTGGGTGGCGCTCACCTTGGGAGCTCCCCGTAAGCGGTGACATTCCCCTCACTCAGATGCTAGGCAGAGGCGTGGCCAGGCAGCTCTGCATGCTACCTCTACCCAGAGCACTGGCTTCGCAGCTCCCATTGGCTGGGAACTGTGGCCAATGGGAGCTGCAGGGGTGGTACCTGCAGGTGGAGGCAGCGTGCAGCAGAGCTGCCTGGCCACACCTCCGCCTAGCAGCTAAGTGAGGGGGATGCTGCCGCTTCCGGGGAGCCCCCTCAGGTAAGCGCCGCCCAGCGCCCGCCTCACCCCATCCCATGTCCCAACCCACTCCTACACCCAAACTCTGCTGCTGCTGTGGGGTAGGCACGGAGCCAGATAGGGAGCCTGCCGGCCCTGCCAACCCCACCCCCCAGCACGAGTGAGGGTCCTGGGCCGCACACCAGCGCCTGCCCCCGCTCAAGCAGCCGGGTCGTCCTCCCCCAGCACCTGCGGGGTCCCCAGGCAGCTCCCCCCCCCAAGTTTTATTCACTGGTATTTTTAGTAAAAGTCATGGACAGGTCATGGGCCGTGAATTTTTGTTTACTGCCCGTGATCTGTCCGTGACTTTTACTAAAAATATCCATGACTAAAACATAGTCTTAATTATGACAACTAACTTTTATGGCGTTCACCTCCTCTACCTCAACACATTAGTCCTGCCTCAGTGTAGGGGACTGGACTAGATGACCTATTGAAGTCCCTTCCAGTCCTACAGTTGCTCTTGGTACCTTTCACAACTCAACACACACCTTCCCCATCCATCCTGCTACCAAACCCCATCCACCTATGCCCCAAACACATCCTCCCCAATTGCCTCCTCCCACCCTTCCTAAAAGGATGGCTTTCGCACACTGTCTCAATCACTCTACCATCTGTTTCTGTGGAATGTGCAGAGGAAAGAGATTCATATCATAGAATCATAGGACTGGAAGGGACCTCAATAGGTCATCTAGTCCAGTCTCCTACACTGAGGCAGGACTAAGTATTATCTAGATCATCCCAGACCTTCAAGGACAGAGTTTTCCACAATCTCCCTAAGACTGTAATTTGTTCCATTGCTTCTTGTCCCATCCTCATTGGATAAGGAGAACAATTTACCACACTCCTTTTTATAACAACCTTTCATGTATTTGAAGACTATCATCATTCCCCCCCCCCCATTCTTCTCTAGACTAAACAAATCCAGTTTTTTCAGTCTCTCCTCATAGGTCATGTTTTCTAGAACTTTAATCATATTTGTTGCTCTCCTCTGGACTTTCTCCAATTTGTCCACATCTTGCCTGAAGTGTGGTTCCTAGAACTGGCAAGAGTTCCTCCAACTGAGGCCTTATTAGTGCTGAGTGGAAGAATTATTTCTCATGTCTTGCTTACAACACTTGTGCTAATACATCCCAGAATGAGGTTCGTTCTTTCTGCAACTGTATTACATTGTCGACTCATATTTAGTTTGTGACCCACTGTAACCCCCAGACCCTTTTCTGCAGTACTCCTTTCTAGGCAGTCATTTCCTATTTTGTATGTGTGCAATTGATTATTCCTTCCTAAGTGGAGTACTTTGCATTTGTCCTTATTGAATTTCTTCCTATTTATTTTAGACTATTTCTTCAGTTTTTCAAGATCAATTTGAATTCTAATCCTGTCTTCCAAAGCAATTGCAACCCCTCCCAGCTTGGTATTATCTGCAAACTTTATAAGTGTACGCTCTAAGCCAGTGGTTTTAAACTTTTTTTCATTTGCGGACCCCGAAAAAACTTTGAATGGAGGCGTGGACCCCTTTGGAAATCTTAGACAATCTGCGGACCCTCAGGAATCCAACAGTTAAAAACCTCTCTTCTGTGGGTAATTCTTTTGCAGACCCTTAGACATAGTCTGCAGAATCCCAGGGGTCCATGGACCACAGGTTGAAAACCACTGCTCTAAGCCATTATCCAAATCATTTATGAAGATATTCATTGAACTGGACCCAGGACAGATCCCTGTGGGACCCCACTTGATATGTCCTTCCAACTTGACTGTGAACCATTGATAACTACTCTCTGTTTTCCAGTCAGTTGTGCACTCATCATATAGAAGGTTCATCTATGCCAGGGGTTCTCACAATACATTTTTTGGTGGCCGCTCTGACAATTTTTCCTTAAATACTTAATTAACTTTAGGAAAAACCAATAAATATGCACATATCCATGTCCAAATCATAGTAATTTATTTATGTAGGGTTTTTTTGCAGACTCAATAATAAAAAGAATGTACAGTTGTCTCTAATCTTTACTGGATGTAAACAGAATAGAAACACAAATAAGGTGCTTTGCGTGTTTTGCTTTTTTTGGTTGATTAAAAAATTTTTTTGCTAGCTAGTAAGTCTGCTACTGTGAAAAGCGATATTTGTATATTTGTTAATATCACTTTTCACAGCAGACTTACTCATCCCTGGCAAGGTGGGAGACCAATAAAACCCTGGATGGGAGGTGGGTAAGGAGGGCAAAGGGTGATGGGGGGGCTGAAAGAGGTAGTGGGGGTCGGAGTGATGTGGGAGGTGAGTTCGGGGCTGGATCCTGGGGTCCTGCTGCACGACTGAGGGATGGAGGAGGCAGCAGGGCCCAGGGATGACGTGGGGGGAATGAGCCCAGGGCCAGAGCCCAAAGCCCTGCGCTGGGGGATGAAGCCCACCATTGCATGGCCAGAGCCTGCTGCCCACCACCCCAGGAATGAAGCCCAAAGCCCAAGCCACACCGCCCCTAGGAAGGTGGGGAACTCACACTGGTTGCCTGCTCCTATAGTGTTTGTGGCTCCAGAAGGTGGCAGGGACCAACTCCTGCTGGTGGCCCACTGCTTCTCACCACCTCCCAGTCACCACCCAGGAGGTTGTGGCTGTAAGAAAAGTCCCTGGTGGCCACATGTCGCCACTGTGGCTGCATTTGAGAAACGCTGGTCTAGGCTGTTTCTCCAATTTGCTTAGAAGGTCAAGTGAGACAGGATCAAAAACCTTACTAAAGTCAAGATACCTCACATCTACTGCTTCCCCACATCCAGAAGTCTTGTTACCCTGTCAAAGAACGATATTAGGTTGGTTTGATATGATTTGTTCTTGACAAATCCATGTTGACTGTTATTTATCACCTTATTATATTCTATGTGCTTACAAATTGATTATTTGTTCCATTGTCTTTCCAGGTAACAATGTTAAACTGACTGATTCCTGGGTTGTCCTGATTTCCCTTTTTATAAGCAGGAACTAATTTGCCCATTTCCAGTCTTCTGGGACCTCTCCTGTCCTCCACTATCTCTACCCATCTTATAC